TTCAGGCCTAAGCCACCAGCTTCCGGCTTTAAACTAGGGGTCTTATGCTAGACAAGCTCTGTCACACTCCAGACCTGAAAGCTTCAATTTCTGTTATCTTCCCCCAAAAGTATTGGTAGTGATCCTGCAAAGAATTTCCCATGCAGATCAGTGGAAGAGAAGCTGCTCACACATCTGGATTCACACACATGAAAAAGGCTCCTCAAGACTACCACCATCCCAGAATTCCTCCGTCATTAGGAGCTGCCAACACACAGATGCAGTAAAGCTGCAGAAGAGGAAATAGGCAAGCAGGAAAATGTACTGAGAAGAGGGAATAGAAGAGGCCATCAAGAATGGTTCTCTAATCTGGACAGAATCGCCGGACAGGTGGCAGCTGCCAACAAGAAGCATTACAAAAAAGATGCTGGGTTAATAAATTGCCTCATTCGCCGGGCACTGGTGGCTCATGCCTGTAATCCTAGCTACTCAGGAGGCTGAGATCTGAGGATCACACATGGTTCAAAGCCAGCCCGGGCAGGAGAGACCGTGAGGCTCCTATCTCCAATAAACCACCAGAAAACCGGAAGTGGCGCTGTAGCTCAAGTGGTAGAGCACTCGCCTTGAGCTGAAGAGCTGAGGGACAGCGCCCAGGCCCAGAGTTCAAGCCCCACGACCGACAAAAAAATAAAAATAAAAAAATAAAAAATAAATAAATTGTCTCATTCGTAAAAAAAAAAAAAAAAAAGAATGGTTCTCTAGGGGCTGGGAAGGTGGCTCAGTGGTAGAGCGCTTGCCTTGCATGCCTGAGGCCCTGGGTTCGATTCCTCAGCACCACATAAGCAGAAAAAGCCGGAAGTGGCGCTGTGGCTCAAGTGGTAGAGCGCTCGCCTTGAGCTGAAGAGCTGAGGGACAGCGCCCAGGCCCAGAGTTCAAGCCCCACGACCGACAAAAAAATAAAAATAAAAAAATAAAAAATAAATAAATTGTCTCATTCGTAAAAAAAAAAAAAAAAAAAAAAGAATGGTTCTCTAGGGGCTGGGAAGGTGGCTCAGTGGTAGAGCGCTTGCCTTGCATGCCATGAGGCCCTGGGTTCCATTCCTCAGCACCACATAAGAAAAAAGCCGGAAGTGGCACTGTGGCTCAAGTGGTAGAGCACTAGCTTTCAGCTGAAGAGCTAAGGGACAGTGCCAGGCCCAGAGTTCAGACCCCACGATTGCCCCCCCCCAATAAAGAAAAAAGAATGGTTCTCTATGTTTTGTTGTTATAAATATTTAATTTTTCTGAGTAAAGCTAGCCATGGTAGTTAATCTCAAGGAGGAAAAAGTTAGTGAGATTCCGCATCAACACTTGGTGTGGTGGTACAGGAAGCAGAAGAAAAATTATCTCTGTCTAGGTTCACCTGGGCTAAAAACAAGAGACCCTACCTGATTTAAAAGGTGAAGGCATGGCTCAATCGGTGAGTGCTTACAGAGCAAGCTCAAGGCCCTTAGTTCAAACTGAGTACTGGAAAGAAAGAGGAGGAGGAGGAGGAGTAACTGGCAAGCTGAGTAGTCTCAGAAGCCATTGGTAGGATACTGAGATCTAACAACAGAGGTTCAAAGCCAGCCTGTGCAGCAAAGCCCATGAGACTCTTATTTCCAATTAACCAGCAAAAAGGATGTGAGGGTGATCTGGCTGCGACATCTGTCTCCCTATTGATCGCCAGGGTTGATTCGGCTGATCTGGCTGGCTAGGCGAGTGTCCCCTTCCTCCCTCACCGCTCCACGTGCATCCCTCGCAAAGCTCCGTGCTCGGTCGAAGAGAACGACCATCCCCAATAGAGGACTGGTCTTCGGTCAAGGGTATACGAGTAGCTGCGCTCCTCTGCTAGAACCTCCAAAGAAGCTCTCAAGGTCCAATTAACCAGCAAAAAGCTAGAAGTAGAGGTATGGCTCAAGTGGCAAGAGCACCAGCCTTGAAAAGAAAAAGCTAAGGGAGAACACTCAGGCCCTGAGTTCAAGCCCCAATACCAATACAAAAAAAAAAAAGCACAAGTCATACTAATCTATAATAGATCCTCAAGCAACAGATAAACAACGTAGGAATTTAAAAGTTAATTATATTGGCAACTAAAAACTGATGCTAGCCAGGTGCCACAGGCTCACACCCATACTCTTAGCTACTTAGAAGGATGAGATGTGAGAATCTCAGTTCTGAAGTCAACTCAAGAGACAAATCCAAGAGACTTTCATCTCCAATTAATCAACAAAAATCTTAAAATGGGCTGGGTGCCAGTGGCTCACACCTGTAATCCTAGTTACTCAGGAGGCTGAGATCTGAGGACTGTGGTTCAAAGCCTACATGGGATATAAGTCCACTGAGACTCCTATATCCAATTAACCACTCAAAAATTGTAAGTGATGCTGTAGTACAATGCTAGCTTTGAGCACGAAGAGGCTCAAGAACAGCACCCTCGCTCTGAGTTCAGGCCCCATAACTGACAAAAAAAAAAAAAAAATCCTACAGTGGAATCTTGGCTCAAATGGTAGAGTGCCACTATGAGTGAAAAGGCTGAGAACTCAAGGCCTGGAGTTTAAGCTTTAGTACTAGCAAGCGTGCACATGCGCGCACACACACATAACCAATGCCAAGACAATCTAGACCTACCTAAACCCAACAGCAAAAACTATAAATACAGCCAGAAGCTGGTGGCTCATGTCTGTAATCCCACCTATTCAGGGGGCTGAAATCTGGGGATTGTGGTTCAAAGTTAGCTCAAGCAGGAAATTCTGTGAGATTTTTTTTTTCATTTTTTTATTCTCATCAGTCGTGGGGCTTGAACTCTGGGCCTGGGCACTGTCCCTCAGCTCTTCAGCTCAAGGCGAGCGCTCTACCACTTGAGCTACAGCGCCAATTCTGGTTTTCTGGTGGTTTATTGGAGATAGGAGTCTCATGGTCTCTCCTGCCTGGGCTGGCTTTGAACCGTGATCCTCAGATCTCAGCCTCCTGAGTAGCTAGGATTACAGGCGAGAGCCACCAGCGCCTGGCCATTCTGTGAGATTTTTATCTCTAATTAAACCACCAGAAAGCTGGAAGTGGCACTGTGGCTCAAAGTGGTAGAGCACTAGCCTTGAGCAAAAGAGCTCAGGGATAGTACAAGGCCCTGAATTCAAGCCCCACAACTGACCAAAAAAAAAAAAAAAAACCTACAAATACTTAGAAATAAATAAATAAATCCTTCTGACCTCAGGCTAGGCAATGTTTTCTTACAAAAGGATAAGGAAAAAAAATAAATTGAACTTCCTCCAAATTAAAAACATTTGTGTTTCAGATACCATCAAGAAAGTGAAAAGACAAGTCCCAAGAAGACATGGATGCAGGAAAACAGAAGAACTCTTATAACTCCATCATTAAAATAACTTTTTTTCTTTTTACTCAAAAACTGGGGGTCTGGGAATGTGGCTTAGTGCCCTGGGTTTGATTCTTCAGTACCACATACACAGAAAAAGCCAGAAGTGGCGCTGTGGCTTAAGAGACAGAGCTACATTTAGCCGGGCACTGGTGGCTCATGCCTGTAATCCTAGATACTCAGGAGACTGAGATCTGAGGATGCGGTT